CGCCGCCGCCGGCCGCCCCTCGCCGCGCCGCCTGGTCAAGCCGCTCCTCTTCGCCGTCGGGGTAAGTGGCTCCTGCGGGGAGCGGGGTCGGCAGGGAGCGTGTTCCGTCTTTCTCAGTGGAATTCTGCCTTCTTGGATTTCGTTTCTCAGTACCTCAAAGTTAGTGCAAGGTTGTTGGCCAAATACTGTGCCGTTACACTGAGATAATACGAAGGAACTTCAGATAAATCAATGGAAACGTTGTAAAGATATCCCAGTTTCATTCCATTTCAGCGAACTTAAATAATTTAATTTACGCATTTTGTTTGCGAACCTCTTTGATAAAGTATTATCTTGTGACACTTAGCATTCGGTAAACCTGAGGAAATAGCCTCAGGTTGCACCAGGGGAGGTTTAGATTAGATAGTAAGAAAATTTTTCACAGAAAGGGTTGTAAAACATTGGAACATGCTGCCCTGGGCAGCAGTTGAGTCACCATTCCTGCAAGTCTTCAAAAAACGTGGATATGGCACTTGAGGATATGGTTTAGTGGTAAACATGGTGTTGGTGGTGCTGGCTTGATGGTTGGACTTATGATCTTAAAGGTCTTTTCCATTATCCAGTTTCTATTATCCCTGTCCGTCAGCGTTGCTCAGCTCCCATTGCCGTGGGGCTGAGCAGCCAGCACAGTGCATGGTGTTAGCCTGGGATGAGCCCGGCTGGAGCCCCAGGATGGAGCAGTTGTTGAGCCTTTGTCCGGTGTCACCCAGTTTACAGGCTCAGCCTTCGGGTCCGCTGCCATCTGGCAGTATGAGTCGCTCAAGTCACGGGTCCAGACCTACTTTGAGGAAGCTCGAGCGGACTGGATGGATAAAATGCGGCCACAGAAGAGAGGTGACTTCAGAAAGCAGGTACACAGCGCCAGGCCCAGGCTGCTCCCACGTGGGTGGATTCCTGCAGGAGTGTCAGGCACAGCTGCATCCCTCCTCCGGTGTGAGCACTATTTGTGGAACAGATACTCGTCCTCATTATTCTGATTTGTAACTGGTTCTCAGCAAATTACAGCAGATGCGTTTCCTTACAAGAAAAACTGATAGAATTAGTTCCAGAAAGCCGTAACTTACAATATTACTGTGAAAGGTATAGTGAAAAATAGAGAAAAATACTGCCTTCACCCAGAAATGCAGGAAAGGAGTTTGTATATCTAAACTAGGTACCACTTGTTTTTTCACCATAAAAAAACCCGAAACAAATATTCCTGCTATGTCTGAGTGTTCTCAGAAGTGAACATGAACTCCCAAAGAGGACAGAGCTAGCTTAAATTCTGAACCTTAAGCATAAGATTTTTCAATACTCTGGCTTCTGAAATGTATTTGTACTTCCAGCCTCTAAAATCTGACAAATACGAGTGTTTAGAGGGCTTTTTTACTTTGAGAGCTGATATTGAGAGCCTTGGAGTTTGGACAGCAAGAACAAAATTAGCGCTGCGAGATTTGTTACAAATTTAGTTGGTATCCCAAAAGTATCAATCAATTAGTTTTTAATTAAGTATACTTAAAACTAAACTAAACATGCATGTATGCATTATGTTTGCTTCAATGTTACTACTATGAGTTGTGATAGACCAGGCTTGATACTCTGTAAGGTCTGGTTGTCCAAGGGAAGTAGGGCTGAGCGTGGAGCTGGAGAAGCTCAGGGTCCTGGGCAGGACACAGGAGCTGTGTTTATAATGTATATTGTGCACACTGGTACTGCCTTGGAAATGGGCACGTGGGATAACCCTGGTGGGCGGCTGAGCACCACACGGCTGCTCACTCATGTCCCCCACAAACCCACAGTGGGCCGAGGACAGAGGAAAGGAGGAAGAATAGCAAGAAAACTCAGGGATAAAGATAAAACAGCCACCAAAAAATTGTTTAGTAAATGGAAGACAAGGGAAGAAAACAAGTGATGTGAAGGCAGTCAGTTCTAATCTCCTGTGGAAAGACCAGTGCCCAGCCAGTTCATGAGCAAAATATGTTAAATGTCCTAAAATCCTCTCTTTTGGGGGATTACATTATGTGGTAGGGAATATCTTTTTAAATATTAGTGGGTTAGTTCAGCTCATCTGCTCAATTATATCACCTCCCAGCCCATCACAGTCCCCTGTTCTGTCACTGCACAGGCAGAGTGAGAAATGGAAAAGGTCTTCATCTTGTGCAAATACCATTCAGCAAAACCTAAAACATCGGTGTGTTATCAGTACTGTTTTGGTCAAAAATCTAAAACACAGCACCATGTATAAGCTGCTAGAAAGAAAATTAACTCTATCACACCATGCTTTCTTGCTTGGTGTATATGAACTGCAGGTGAGATTATGATCAGCACTTAATATTTTAAATAACTTTGGTTTTATACTTTTATTTTCCTTCAAAACCTGAAGGGGAAGATCTGGTGATTAGCTATCCAAAAAAGAAAACAAAACTGCCCTGTTGTTAATAGGCTTAAACTGCCAATCCCCATCTTCAACGGGTAAGTTCTATTTTTAAGAGTTCAGGATTCTCCCAGTTGCTTCTGAGGGCATCTGATTCTTGTATTTTAGAAAAGTCATGTTTGTTTAGTGTTCTTATACTGGAGAACTGATATCTGTATCCTGTGCCAGAGAATTAAAAAGAAATGCAGTGAAGTTGTTACTTTGATATCAAATAGTGAATGCTTTGTTTCTTGCAGCATTATTTTCCCTGCCTCCAACCTGCAGATAATGTTAATGACAACTATCAATATGGTTGGAAGGTCGTTGAGCTATCAGCAAAATATTTGTGCAAAATGATTCTGAAAGCTGAGGAGTGGAAAGGGGGGTGCAATTTATCTGTGGGCTGACTGCACTCAAAATAAACTTTTTCAGGGGTTTTAAACTTGGAGGAGGGCTGGGTGAGCTGGACGCAAGGGGGAATTCCACATCTTGTGAGCCACCTCTGCAAAAGTGATCCTGGCACAAAAGTGGAATCTCTCAAAGGTGGGTGGTGTGATGTTAGACAGCATTAGGGTGAGGATTAGTTGAGGCAGGATTTATGCTAACTTTGGCTAATCTGCTAAAGTAAGCATTATGGGCTAGATCCTTGTTTAGTACAAGCAGGGTAAACTTATGAAGTTGTGTCAAAGGATATAACTCCATTCTTTTTAAATAAACTCTTCATCCATATCGGGGCATTTTATGAAGAGGAGGGTAGATAACTTTTCTTGAGTAAGGAAATGTCAACTTGAAAAGCCAAAGCAATCAGAAGTAAAAAAGTTTGAAACTGATTTACTTCACAGACTTCAAACAAATGCTTTCTATTCTTAAAAAAGGTACATAACCTTATGTGACTGTTTTTGAAATTGCAAATACTTCCCAGTGGCATTGATGTACAACAATTCTGTTTCAGGTTAACAGCTGGTGGAATAGCCTGACTGAGGGTCAGCGGACTGTGACAGGTTTGTGTTAGCTTACAAGTATTAGACATTCACAGGAAAAGAAATATGGCAAACAGGTACAGTATGTTAAAACAGATGGCTTTCATACCACGTTTAGGTTGTTGGGCACAAAGCATGTGTAAACTTACACCTGCACATACACTATTTCTGCTACACTTCCTTCTCACCAACTATTTTTTGTATGCCTTTAAAAAATCCCTATTGATCTAGGTGAGAGAGTGTGGAGGATTAACTAGAATCCTCCCCCAGCAGCATTTTTCTCAGGAACTGTGAAAAACAGTAAATGCTTTTAGAAGGAATAGGTATATGTATTCCACTGATAGGTGAAAATAAAATTCCCTACTAGTTACTTGCTTGCAGCATGTTGTATAAAAAGTAGCAAAAATTATCCTGTGAGCTTTCCTTTGATTATAATGTATCTTTGATTGGCTAGCCCAATGCCAGTTGAAATCCCCAAGGTAAATGTGATACGTGAAAAGAACTTGATGAGAACTTGATTCAAATCCAGATGAAGTAGCTCAGCTCTATATGCTGTTATGTGTTCTACATTAAGTATTTACGGAATCTATATTAGCAGGTTATTAGCATAAGGTTACTTAAGGTGCTATTTCTATGTCATTTAACTATTCTACAGAAGCATTTTGGAAAAAAAATTTCTACCAACTTACTAAGTCTTGGAAGTGTTGACTCTCAGTTTAAGAATAGGTTGCATAAGTGCTGAATGTTTCGGGCCAGAACCATCTCAAGCCACTCAATTAACAAGTGGTGTCAGGAAGTTTTGTACAATGCTTTGAATCACTTCAGCATGCAAGGCAGGTCGAGACATAGATACTGTGGGGCAGTGAAAATTGATACAGTCTCTGTGTCTCTCAACATCAAGTTAATCTAAGGAGCAGTAGAAATTGTAGCTGGTAGAGCCTGAGCCATTCAGATACTTACCTTTGATTGCCATAACAGGGTTGGACTTACCCTACTGAAATTGCTGACAATTCTGTAACAGTTTGGTTTGGCATTCAGGGAAAGTATTTCCTCTAATAGAGGAGCATGGTCCAATAGGATGGAGTATTGAAAGAAGAGATTATTGAAATTTTAGTTCTAGGATATATGTGTCATAGCTTTTCACAGTTCTTGCATTTTGTTGCAAACTTCAAATGAGACTAATTATCTGAGATATATTGTTATGTAAAGGAATCACAATTATTTTCCCCCTTAGTATTTCTAGCTATTATAAAACATTTTAAATACATAACTGCTTGGACAGAAATAGGGAAGGTGCTTTAACCAGGAAATAATAAATTGTCATTATGTTTCTAATAAATTACATTCTTATTTAAAGTAAGTATTCTTATTTAAAATAAAGACTTCAATAACATCTGTGAACTGAAAAGCTGTGCATTTGCTATCTCCCAAAGGTGATTATGCCCTAGCAATGCCAATTCAACTTTCTATCCTTGATTTCTAAGCAGAATCTTTACATTTCCCTCCCCCAAAAATGGATAGGATGCGTACTGTGTGTTTGTAGGACTCCCACAGTCTTCTTCCCTTATGCAGTTAAATGAAACTGTGCAGCAGACAGTGCCACTGGAGAATAAACAGCGAGATGGGCAGGAAATAGGACCTCTTAGCTGGCTCCTATTTCGTTGATTCTGCAGTGGAAAAGGAGTTTGAAACCATAGCTTGAACGTCCTCAGCACAGATTTTTCTGGACTGTTGTGTTCATTACACTATGTTAAAACAGTTGCAGTTAAATGTCATTTTTCTGAAAGACTTCCACTATGTAAATGTAGCTTTCAGTATTTTTCTTTGCTTTTTCTAAACTCTGTGCAAAGTAAGAAGTGGATACTGCTTTTATGGAATTGTGAAGAGAAAGTATAATTCTTGTAAGCTTCCTTTTAAATACTTGTTTACAGTAAGCACTATAGTGTGTTACATTCATAATTTGCTTTTATACTTATTTTTCCCTCTTAATAGGTATTATAGCTGCAAATGCCTTTGTATTCTGTTTGTGGAGGCTGCCCGGCATGCGACGGATTATGTTTACATATTTCACCTCAAATCCATCCTCCAGTAAGTGAACAGTAATTTGAGTGACTTTCCTCCATAGGGATGTAATAGAAGGTCTGATCATACTGCAGAAGCTTCAGGTGGCACATGGCTCATTTGTAGCTCCATTACCCACAAGCAATCTCAGTCGTGCCCAAACACATCGTTCTGTCTAGGCAGGAGATGGTTTAAGGGGAAAAAATTAGAAGCATCTAATCTGATTTTTTAAGACAAACTTTTGTCTTAAAAAACTGGTGCTTTTCTAAATATTGTAACACCAAAACTGTTGCTTGCTATCTGGCCTTTTCCTGCATTCAGTGGGATGCAGCCCCTACCTGTGTGAAGGTGAAGAGGTGCTCCTCCCAGTGATTCGAACCCCAGCTGCTTTGCTGGACAGAGTGCAAATCAAGCCACTCTTTAGGAAGAAGAAAAATAAATTGTACTACATAATGCCATTCAAAAACTAAACTCAAAATGATTACCTGCTCTCCCTTTAATGTTCAGTGGGAGCAGATAGAACAGTCATCAGTCACATGCATGTACACTTTTGTCCGTAGACAAACATTAGTCTGTATGTTGTGTATGAGGTCCTTGTTTCAAAGCTTTGAGTCACATTAAAAAAAAACAAACTAAGCACAGACTTGTCTTTCACTGTGTGTGAAATGTATTGAAGAGATTAACTTAGGAAAGCAAGTTACTGGTATTTAATAGCAGAACAATTGGTTTTCGTTTCTACAGCAAAGAACTAAAAGGATGAGACAAATGTATTCGGAAAGTACTTCCTGCTATCCTCTTAATTTCTGCTGAAAAAATGGAAATTCAACCAGTTCCCCTACGTGCTCCAAAGCTAAAGATAGCTGTTATCCAGATCTGAGCATGTCACCCCAAACATGTTTTAAATAATGCTGACCTTAAAACCCGCTAATTGGCTTGTTTGCATTTTCAGGGCTGTTGTTTCAATGAGGAGAGCTAGTAGCTTTTTGAAAATATAACTGTTTTTGATTTATGAGTTCATCTCTGTAGCAAATTAATTTTATATAGCTGCTTATATATTAGAAATCTTTCACTATATACATATATAAATATCTTTTTTTCCTTTTTCAAAGCATAGGACACATGTCATAAGATAAATGTTTTCTATGAAACAATCCCCTGTAGGTAACTAAGACTGTGCAGCTTGCATATCTCTGGGGTGTATGTTCTACCTTTCCAAAGGTGTTGAATGGAATTTGAAATTTGTTCTATTTCTGGGTTTATATTGTAGCTTGTATTTGAGAATCTAAGCATAACTAGCCCCAGTATGTCTTGATAAATGTCTAGTTTGCATGCAAGTTGACATGTAAGTTGAAGCAAATTAAAGCACTGACTTCTTTATGTTCATTGTTTTTCTCTTTTGTAGAAGCCCTGTGTTCTCCCATGCTGCTCTCTACGTTTAGTCACTTCTCTCTGTTCCACATGGCAGCAAATATGTATGTTTTATGGAGTTTTTCCAGCAGCATTGTCTCTCTTCTGGGATGCGAGCAGTTCATTGCAGTATATCTTTCTGCTGGTAATATATAAAATATATACTTAAAAATATAAATATGTATTCATGCAAGTAAAGAGTGTGCATGGTTAACTGCAGTATGATGACTGATGGCCGTTGCTCTATATTAAAAGCAGTACTTCTTTGCTGTTATACAGATTATTGGTAGATTTAGGATATTGGGCTTCAAAATACCATGATAAAACCATGTCTGTTTTTAATTCATGCTTTGCTACCAAAATACAGACTTATGTAAGTTTTGTGAGAAAAGGTGACAGTTAGTTTGTGCTTTCTGATGCTTGTCTGCATTGCCAGCATTGTTTCCAATAGTAATTTCTCTTTTTTAGGGGTTATCTCCACTTTTGTCAGTTATGTTGCTAAAATGGCCACTGGAAGGTTTGAACCATCCCTTGGAGCTGTAAGTATCTTGGAATATGAGAGACCTTATAGTGATCTCTGAAGCCATTTGGAAAGTCTGTTGTATTCTTTAACCTGCTTAAAAGCCAAGAATATATGTGGGATAATGAAAATTAGGAAGGTTAACCAAAATCAAGTACCCAGGCAAGAACTGGTTCTCCTGTTCATCCAGTGTGTTTGATTCTGCTGCAGCAGCCACCCAGAACTAATGCCACTTAATGCTAAGGGTTGTAAATGAGTCCTTAACAGCAGGACCTCTTGTGTCTGAGCAGATCAGTTGCGTAACTTATTGCAGAAATAGTATTTCATAATTGTGTATCAGTCTTCTCTAATTGAAAATAGAATACTTTAGAAAGAGATACAAAATCAGACCATCAAACTCAGTGTGTGATCCCAGTGAAAGTTGTAGGGCATGCTGTGCAGGAAGGGCAGCACTCCTGCCAAAAATCTTGCTGGATGAAAGATGTGAGGCAGGCTGAGGAGCTCTTGTGGTTGCCAGTTCTTTACAAGTGTTTTTAGTAGCAGAACGTTTTGAAACACTTAACTTGCTCTAAGTTTGAGATTAACATAGGCATTTGCTTCTTAACTTACTTTACTAAATAATTTTGATAGAAGCCAAAAGTCGGATTCTCATTTTTCTATTGAAATTAAAAAAAAAATCTGTTTAGCTGTGAGGCAGTTAGAATTTTTAGAAGTGCTGTGTATTGTCCCTTTATCTTATGAATAACTATATCTGGAGCAAGTCACTTTCCCTTACTCTTACTGATCTGAACTTACTGAAATTGCTACACATTGCATTAGTTTACTGTGTTCAGAGTCTTTCCATTGTGATTATTTTATGGATACAAAAGCCCATGGTCAATTTAGTACAGTACAGGGAATTACTTGTTTCAATGACAAAAGATTTTTGTCCCTGTCCATCTGTTATTTTCCTTGATTTTGTACAACCTTCAGAATTATTCCCTTTGTTTGATTAATCTATGTTAGATTTCCAGGGCTTACTTGGGCGAAAGCACATTTACATAAATTGTTATCTTAAAAACAGGGGTGGGGGGTGGGTATTTCTTAATTATGTAAGAGCATTTGAAGGATATTTTTTTCCCAGTACTTATAATTTCAGATATTGAAATTAAATAATGCTGTCTTGGTTTATTTTTATTTTGAACTTTGCTGTGGTGCTTTGTACTTTGAGTATTACCACAGGGCTGCATTTGAAAATAAAAGCCCAAAAGGAAAAGGGGTTCACATGCAGGAAAATAATTTTTCCTTTATGTAATATCTCAGCTTACTTTGATGTCTTTTAATGTATTTACAGTCAGGAGCTATAATGACTGTCCTTGCAGCCGTATGTACAAAGATGCCCGAAGCAAAACTGGCCATCATACTTCTTCCAATGTTCACATTTACAGCAGGAAGCGTAAGTGCCACTGAACTTCAAAGAAATTCTACTCTTTAAATATTTTCCCCATACCTCTCCAATATCTGAGCAGATGTCCTCTTCATTTGTGTTTCTAAGCTGTTAATTTTATTTTGAAAGAGAATGCGGGTCATAAAAGTCATGGGGACCAATCAGAATTGCTGCAGCTTGGAAGTCACTACACCAGTGTGGAGTGAATTTAGAATTATCCTAAATCCCATCATCCACGGGTCTGTTTCAAATCTGATCCCAAGAGGTGAAAGAAACTGGGAGGGAGTCAGGTTTGCCTGTCTGAGGAAACCTTGCATACACATCCCGTTCTTTCTGATGAGTGATATTTTTGGTAGCAGCACTGGTAACAGGCTAATCTAATACTGGCACACTGCCTTTAAAGAAAAACTTCATTTCTCATGGGAGATTACATTCCAGCCCTGGAGGAATATTTGCCTCCTCTTTTGGATATCATCTTTTGATGCTTTTAAGAACACTTGTGGGATTAATAATAGACGACTGAAACTTTCCTTCGTGTGTAGTACTAGGACTCTTTTTTTTGTTTCATTAAGTTCTTTTATGCACATCCACTTCCACATTTAGGGAAAGCTTCTTATGTAGATCTTGTTTTAATAAGTTAATCATCTTTGTTCCTGTACTTTAAGTTGTTTTACTGCTTAAAGCAGTTAAGCCACGTCATTCCAAGATCATGAGATTTAATACTTTTTGTAAGGGAAGCTTACATATTTGAACAAGTGTTCTTAGATGTAGCCTTTGTGTTTTCCTTGCACTTCTGCTTGAGTGGATGTGGGTTTTTTGCATGACACCCTTTAATGGTATCTTTCTTAGAAGAGATGGCCAGGGTAGAAATATTGGCAGAGCCACAGAGAGCATTGTCATGATCAAGTGCTCATTGCAACAGCAGAGCAATATTGGCTATTGCAGTAGAAAGGTAGGAATAATTTTAGCCCTTTTATGTAATTGTATGTAACTTTACATACTCCTTCAGCATACCTTATCTATACTGTAATGGGCTTCTAAAATAAACAAGCCAATGTAGCAATAGAGCTGCTATTCTAATACATATTTTAAAGGAAAGAGTTCCTGCCTAAAGTAACATTTAATCCTAACATTAAATCTGTTGGTCTTTATGAAATGGGCCATCTAGTAAAATTTTGTGTATTGACAGTTACGGTGGCTTATGTCTCCTGAGGATGGTACACCATTGCTCATGTTAACTGTCATCCTGATTTTCTGTCTTCTAACAAACATACCCTTTAGAACTAGAGTGTGATGATCAATTTATGTCAGATAACAGGGCCTGCCCCACATGTTCCATCCACTGGAGGGTTGAGTTTGGGAGGACAGATGCACATAAATCTAAGCTACGTCAGAATTAGAGAATGAGAATGCTGCAATTACATGTTTTGTGGTGTCTTTTATAGCATGTACTCTTTCAGGTAACTTCTGTCTTTTTCCTGACCTGAATTTGAAATGTATTTTGTTTGAAAAGGACACATTCCTACCCTGCGCTATTCTGTAGATGCTCAGGTCTATTTTCACAGCACAGTACAGCTGAGGAATGAGTATGTTGTTTTAAAACAATTTATTTTTTACAGTGATTCATTTGATATAAAATATATATGATGTTTGTTGATCCCAAATACTTGCTCTGTGCCAGAATAGAAAACTGTTATCAGTGGCCATTTTTTGTGCTGTGACTGGTCCTGTCCATTCCATGTTCTCTTCCTTTCTAGGCTTTAAAAGCCATAATTGCATTTGACACTGCAGGACTTGCTTTAGGCTGGAGACTTTTTGACCATGCTGCACACCTTGGGGGAGCTCTCTTTGGAATGTAAGTCTGTATTTACTAACTTCTGCTTGTTTTGTATTTAAATCAATCCTGTATTTTTTCCTCTTTACTTCCTATTATTTCTGAAGTACAGGGGTTTTTTTTGAAAGTTTTCTTCACTAGCATTGAATACAACTCACTGTTGTTCTTGTAGTGCTATAAAATTCTGTGGAAAATGCTGTTAACAGAGGCTTAGGACTGGAAGAATTGAGCTGAACTGCCTCAGAATCATAGATTACACGTAAGGTTTTCCTGTCACCATAACCTGAGCTGGCTGGCTGTCCAGCTCTTCCCAGAATATTGAAGAGAGTCACAAGGCAGAAAAGATTCTCACGGAACAGCATGGACAAATTAAAATAACTTTAAACAGCTAAGAAAATGCCTTTGTCTCAGTGTTTTTCCTCTAATTGCCAATTTAGAGAGAGCTACAGAGTTAATATAAGCACAGGCCAAATTCCTTTGGGCAGCCTGTACTGCTGTTTTCTCAGTGTTGTTGCGCTGCCTTTGTGTGGACCTTTCCTAATTAGTAAGAACTACTAGAAACAAGTTTGTAGGAAGCAGTTCTGTATTGTTCCATGTTTCAACTACATTATGAGTTTTTTCCCTTCAGCCCAATTGCAGCGTTGTCTTTATTTTCACACGATTGCTAAGAGCCTTTTTAAACACGTTAGGTAGGCATTTGAAAAGCCTGCCTGAGATTTCACTAGGCCAGATTTAACAGCAAACCAGTTTATAGACCAAAGTGTTTGCCATGTCTTGGCTTTGGTGTCAGTAACTTCTGTGCTGCACAGTCTCCTCTTCTCCCCTTCTCTGGCATCACAAGTGAATGAACAATCTGCATTATAATGTAGATTCACACACTAAAAAAGGATAGCAGTTGCAGTAAAAACTGTCTTGAGTTGACAAGTCTCTTGCTTTCCTCACCGACATTGTTTTACCTGTTTGTTCTACTCTGTGATCATTTTGGTCACTTCATCCTAAAACAGGGCCTTTATTTAGGACATATGTTGAATGGCCAAAGTGTTTTTTATATATTACCTCCCAGACAATTGTCCGCTTTGGAAAGTGACCAGTTTCCCTCATAGAAAAGTGCTTCTATTATTCAGGACTCAGGTGTGGAGTCAGGCTTGTGGGAGAACCTTCAACCTATTTCCATGTGGTTGCTTCTCCTCGTGCCTCTCCTCTGCACCATAACCTCCCTTATCACTTATGTTGATATTCATATATCAGAATATATAGTTCTCTATGAATATAAATTAAGCTAGAACGCTTTGATAGATTAAATCTTCATTTAGATGCTTATGGAAGAAAATTCACTTTGAGTGGAATGTGGCTGTTCATTATGGGGCAGTTGTATTTTTGTAGGAGAAAACCACTTTTACTTGGTGTTGTCAGTAAGGATTAGCCCAAGCAACAGAACTGTTTTAACAGTCTCCTAAGTGGAGGTAGTTTTATGTGTCTTTTTAAGAAATCACAAAATCACGAGATTAAAGGCATGAAAAAACTATTCATTCTCAGGACTGAAATAAGCAAGAACACAAAGTTAACTGTTTGGAGTCAAGAGAACAAGTGGCTTACCTGCCACTTTCCAAGCATGTTGTTCTTTGTGCCTCAGTTTATCTTGTCTTCTATACCAAGCTTATACTTGGTTTTAGTGATCAACCTATTCTTTCTCAGATGCAAAGAAAAGTTGCAGTTAATTTTAACTATTATTTTCTTTCCCAGGTGGTACGTGACTTATGGCCATGAGCTCATATGGAAAAACAGAGAACCACTGGTGAAAGCTTGGCATGAATTGAGGACAAAGAACGCAGGAAAGGGAGGAGGTGGAAGATCTAGCTGATTCTAATACTAGAGATTCCTTGTGCCCAAGTGATATATTACTTGAAGATGTGGGACTGAATTGGTTTTGAAGGGTTTTTTTGCTACTCCACATTAAGCCTCTGAGGAGCTGAAGTTTCTAATGTAACAAAATTATGTTACAAAAATGCATATCCATAGAAAATGAACTCTGACGAAGGTGGAACAATAAAGGGTTTTATCCTATTGCTTTCTGAGGTAACAGTCTGCATTACGTTTTTAAAGGTGGAATAAAACATGTTTTTCAATTAAGTGATGTAAATCTCTGTCCACAAAAAAACCCCTTCAAAATGTGGTACAACTGGTTAATACTTAGGAAAATAAACTGAGGAAGTTACTGAATCACACACCCCTAATGTCTGCCAGACAACACAAAGTGCTTTCTTAGGAGGCAAGCTTTAGGCAAGTTGGACTCAACATAAGGCTAAGGTGGTGAACTTCAGTGGTCTTCATTGTTGGAAGGATTGGATGAGAGGAGCCAAAGGTCTCTTTTGTTCTTAATCTTGAAATACTCGAAGCAATACTGGATTGTTTGCCAAGGTTTACATACTAGTTAATGGTCCAGCTTTATTTGTTAGCTGTGGCTATTCAACTCCTGTTTTTCATTTCTATACACTTCCACAGTGCTTTCACATCTTCTTGGATTTTACTGTAATGGTATCTTTTTCATAATTATGTGCAGGGGAAGAATGACGTACTGTGGTTTTTGATATTCTACCATAAGTTATACTGCTTTCTGGGTTCTTTCACTGCATTAATTTGGGGGTGGGGTGAGGGGATGTTCTTTAAATTGTGCTTTATTGTTAGTTCCATTTAAGGTCCTTCTTCAGATTTTAAAACTAACATTTGGTTCAGAATCTGACAGTACTAGAAAATAAGCAGCTTCAGCAAAACTAGGTGAAATTGGCAACGCCATAGCCATAACAACCATGATCCCTGAGATCAGCAACACCATAACCAGAAGTAACTACTAAAGTAAACCTGAGGGTAGTACCATGACTAATGTTCCTATTTTACAAATAAAAACAAAAACTCAATTTGGGGTATGCTGCTGCTCTGCACCTGTCCTGCAAGGATAATACTGAACCCCTTGCAAAAGGCTACAGAATCTTCCCAAATAAATTTCCCTTAACTCCTCCCTGTAATCAGAGCTAGACATTCCAGATGGACTGACCTGCCAAAGAACATGATGCATTTGTAAGAAGCAACTTGTAGGCTTTTTACTTTACAATAGTGCCTTGCAGAAAATACATTTCCTGTGGGGATAAAGAATACATAATGCTAAGTGGTATCAGTTTTAATAAGTGATGGAGTAAAAAATTGCTGTAAATTCCCTTATTGTCACAGGCCAGTGCTTGTCCAATTTTTTTGTCCCTTGGAAAAATGAGACATTTGAGGATTTGTTACTCTACATGCCTGTCAACTTAAACGCTTAAAAAAATGAAGGCATGGGAGTACCTGATGCTCCTTTGCTCTGCTCCAGAAATTTTCTGACTTTCATTTCTAATCTGTCACATCCCCCTTTCCTACTTCGTTTTGTGATCCTCAGGACTAGTATGCCCGTTTTCAGGGCTTCAGCCACAGTGCAGCCCTGCCTGCCGCAGAGAGAGGGCAGCCGGACACACAGCGAGCGCACTGCTCAGCACAGCCAGGGAGGGTCCAGCAGCGTCAGAAGATGCCACTGAACGGGCTCATCCCACAGGAGCATTTCATGCCAAAGAAGCTCAAAAGCCATAGCTCACAGTATTTCACACATTGGTTTTATCTATCTATTGTTGTCTTTGCCCACTTCCTTTTATTTTTACCCCCTTTCTCTTCCTTGCGTTACCTCTTGTCCGTTCAACAACTTATCTAGTCCCTTCAACAATTAGGTATTTGCTGAGAGTTTTTCAGAGATCCTGGCTGAAAGCAGGGAGTAATATTGCAGGAAATACAGTGTGTAAGCCCTGAAGGACATTATCTTTTACAGGTCTAGAAGGAGAAGCTGAAGTTGCTGTTAAGTTCTTCAACATAGCAGACAGCACCTCAGAGAAGTCATGCCCCTGTATCGCCTACAGAGAGTGAAGAGACTTGTGGTACGTTACAGCCCCCAAGACAAGTGTGGTGTTACTGCACCCTTTCAGCTTGCAGAAAGGGACATAAAGCACCTGAAAAACCATCCTGGAACCACCACAGAGGTTTGGAAGTCACCGGCTTTTCAGCCGGTGGCTGTGGATTGAGGGTCTCGTGCCTAACCCCTAACTAGGTTTAAGAGCATTCACCCTTCAACGACCTGTTCAATGTATGGATCTTCCTCAGTTATAGAAACCCTAGAGGTGTGTAACATATGTAAGGCTGTACAAAAATCTTCATGTGGCCATGCAGTTGTTTGCACCTGAGCCTTTGTGCAGCATTATCTGGCAAAGGCAAACTGTCTTCTCTGGTCCAAAATTACCTTAAAACTGCAATAGGAAAGTCAGCTCTTTAGTCAGTCAGACAAGGAATCATGACAGCTCACTAGAGTAAATAAGATACCTTTCTGGCAAGCGAATACCCTTCTTGAAAAATCTGGCATCAGCATGTCAGTATCTCAGTATTTAGCCACATGTTTGAATGACAAATTAGAAGAATGGAAAAAAAACCCCAAACTAAAACCCCAACCCTAGAAAAAAAACCAACAAAAAGAACCAACCACATGGAAAGACTTTTCAAAGAGATTATTGTGAATAAAAATACAATGTGGTGATTATGCAGACAGTTGGCAGAGACAACAGCTAGTGTTTGTGTAGGAAAACAGCAATAAGTATAAAGTCATGGTTAGTCATGTAGAGAAACAATCCTTTACCTTTTTTCAGTGGCTTTAAAGTCTGCTTTGGCCTTCCCATGTTTAAGGAATATTTTATTTCAGTGATCTGCTCTATTTGGAATTTCATTTTAGCATTAAAACTAACTGTTAGAGTTTTCAGCCCCCATTCCTGGCAGCAAGAGCTTTTTAGCTTTCTGATTTGATGGGTTTTCTTTGTCTTACTGTTGCAGTATTCCTCCTCCCCCCCCCCCAGCTTTTAATCATGACAAATCTTCTAAATGCAGGCAACTTTTTAATCTCATCCAACATCTTCTGGTTTTCCTGTCTGATTTAGCCTTTGTGCCAATTTCATCCTACAAGCTGTGATGAGCAGCTGCTCCAAGCACTCCCTGATGCTGTAGGTGGGCTCTGAGACATGCATTGCCAGAGCTGAATTCAGTACTAGGAAGTGGCAGGCACAGGATGAGCAGAGACATCCGATTTATTCTCTGATGTATTTTGCTAAGTCAGGCCTAGGAACAAGGATCAGAGCATCATTTGTACTTTGCCACAGATAACATGATAAAGCAGATGTTCTGCTTTCTCCCATGGTTGTAAAGTCTATTTCTCTTTACCAGATATGATTTATTTTAAAAATTACAATGTAGAACCGAGCAGTTCTAAAAAAACAAGAGCAGTAGAAAATTAAGAAATGTCTCCCTGCGTATTCCTAAAAGTAAAATTATGTTTGTGGCTTTTTCAGACAACAAATTAAACACAGCATTCAATAGCCTAAATGGTTTTGTGACAAGAGTTCTGTGTGGGACCAAAATGTTTTTACCTGAAATTTCCGAATCTCCTTACCCCAACGAACTTGTGAGGGCGAGGGGGTGGTGATGAAATCAAAGCTGCTAGTAGCATTGACAAGTGCCAAAACACATATTTGGAACAACAGGGTCATCTGCGAAGGAATTGCTTCTTATCCTTTGATGACTGTGTTTCAGAGAGAGGCCAAACACGCAAGGAGAGGTTCTGCCCCAGCCCATACCCACATTTCTAGCCTTTCTCCCCGCCAGGAGCAAGTGCAAATCTGAACTGAGGTGCTAATACACTACAGATACAGTACTGCTCAGCTGAAACAAGGCAGTAGATCTTAACCTTCTCAAGTTCCACTGCATAACTATTTTCTTAATAATGTTTCATAGAATAGAATGTTTGGTTTGGGTTGGAAGGGACCTTAAAGATAGTCTAGTTCCAACACCCCTACAGTGGGCAGGGAACCGTCCACTAGACCAGGTTGCTCAAAGCCGCATCCAATGCTAAATGTTTCCAGAGATGGAACAGCCACAGATCTTCTGGGCAACCTGTTGCCAGTGCCTCACCACCCTCACAGGGAAGAATGTCTTCTTGATATCTAATCTAAACTGTCCCTCTTCCAGTTTAAAGCCATTACACCTATCTTATCAGATAATCAGCTGTAACTAGAGTAGATGATTTTCTAACAGGAGGGATCTCAGTTTATCTGCATTCTTCACTTCTAAAGCCTTATATTTCATAGTTTGGTGACCCTCTGGGAGATTCAGCTTCCTCTGTAATAATACACTGAATGGGGAATTGTGGAGGAGCATTATGGCCCGTAGCCACTTATTACATAAGATGTAAAATTTCAAAAGCCCGGCTTATCCTCGATGTAATTCCGTCAGTTTCACTGTTTTGTGCCAGGACTGTTTGGTTTTGAACCTGAATGTACAAAAGGAAAGCTGTAATTTGCAGTCTCTGGCAAACAGGAAAGGACGTGGGCCCTATATTAAGATACATAATAGAAGCTTGGATTTTGGTCAATAGGAGGTATTTTAAAAGGGGTTAAACTGTTAATGTAAATGGAGGGAGGGGGATTAAGAGAGGTGGGGTTTTGCACGCAGCTATTGGAAACTAACACTGCAAGGCTGCTGTTTCTCATCCAGATCACTTATTTTTTGAACGCCAGGTTTCGTATACGCACACTTTCTCTAATCATGAGTAGTGACGGCTGCCTCGAGGGTATAATTGAGCAGCACCAACCATCTACAGCGGAGCAGCGCTCCTCGCCTGGCCGGTGCCCGTGACTGGGCGCGCTTCGGCGCTCCCGGGCACAGAGCGGCTCCCGAAGCAGCGGCACAGACAGCGGCAGTCGGCGGCGCACGGGCAGAGCGGGTCCCCCCGGGGGCCGCAGGGTCCGGTCCCGGCCGCGTTCCCTCCCCCGCCGCTGCACGGGGCTCCCACCGGCAGCCGGGTCACGTGTGCGGGCCGTAATCCCGGCGAGGGGGTGTCGTTACCGGGGAAGGGGGCGGCGGGAGGAGGGGCTGCCGCCGATGAGGGCTGAAGCCGGGAGCGCGGCCGGCTGCGGGCGCCGGAGCCGCGGGCGCCGCTGCGGGCGAGGCGGGGGCTGCGGCCGCGGCCATGGCCTGGCCCTGCATCAGCCGGGTGTGCTGCCTGGCCCGCTTCTGGAGCCAGCTGGACAAGTCCGACCTCTCCGTGCCGCTCACCATCCACAACTACTCGGACATCGAGGAGCAGGAGGACGGGCCGCCCCAGCGCGGCGGGCCCCCCTCGCGGGGCAGCGCTCGCCCGCCGGTCCCGGCGCGCCGCCCGCGGGATCCCGCCGCCGCCGCCGGGAAGCCGAGCGGCCGCAGGAAGGGCCGGGCGGCCGCCGCCGGAGAGCCCTTCGCGGCGGAGACCCAGTACCGGCAGGACTTCAGAGCGTGGCCCCTCCCGAGGAGGGACGCCTTCCCCTGGGTCAGCGCCAGTAGCGGCGGCGGCGGCGGGAGGGACGGGGCCGCCCCCCAGCCCGCCCCGGGACGCGCCGCCTGCGCCTTGCCCGGCGGCGGCGGGAGAACGGCAGTCGACGGCCCCGAGCAGCTCCGGCCGCGCTCGCAGGCGGACGGCGGCCACACCACCTCCTACAGGTAACCGGGCCCGGCGGCCGCCCCGAGCCGGGGCTGCTCCTGCCGCGGGTGGGGACGCTCCTCCGCAGCGCGGGGATGCCGGCGGGCGGAACCGCCACCGAGGGGAGGGGGACGGGGGCTGCCGCCTCGCCGGCGGGCTCAGCCTCTCGCCGAAGCCGCCTTTGCTTTTGGAAGTGCGGTCCTTTAAAGTGTCGCTTGTGCCTCGGGCAGGTGCCTGGCCCCGGCGGCCCCTGTGCGTGCCGGGGCAGCGGAGCCGTCCCCGGGCGCGCCGCCGCCCGGCCCGCGCTCGGGGAGAGGAGGGAGCACGCCGGGGGGATCCATGATTGCATCCCTGGCGCAGCAGCGCGCTACCCACCCGCTGCCGGGAGACTCGGCACCTCCGACAGCCAGAGCTGCCCGCCACCCGTCCATGCCCAACAGCCGCACTGAGCTGCGTTCCCCGAATCCCTCGGTGCCATCATCGCTTTCCCTTTAAAACTCCTGGAATGCGACATTCATGGCGAGCCAAATTACAGCCTTAAAAGATTAGTCAGAGAAGAAGACATTTTCGGGATGTATCCCCTATGTCATCTAATGGGTAATGGAAAAAACTGTCACAAACCACCTGTCTCAGTCTTTAAAAATTACTAAGTGACTTATGTTATCGATGCCTTCCTTTCTCTCTGAACAGCCTGACTGATTACAGATGCTTATTTCCTGAAACAAACAGTCAGGTGGGATGCACCTAAATTCAAGTCTTGTTCTTACTGACTCTCCCCATGGGAGGAGAGGGTATTTCAGCTTCTACAAGGCTGCTGTTGAATATTGTATCAGTTTCATGCTGTTACCACATGCTTCCTCATAATGATGTTTGGCAGATTTTAATATACCTATGAGGTATATTAATAGAGTAATTATTTTTATTCCAATAGATTCTCAAGTATTTAGACTCTTATTACCTATTATGTATCTAGGAGACATTTCTCTTCATCACTGCAATTTATTAGATTATGTATCGCAGTGGTTTTAAGACAAACTGGGAGCCCTGGGGGATATTGCTTATCCCACTCCTCCTCACACAGGCAGCTGTCCTGCTTCCATGTGTGGTGAACATGCAGACTTAGGAAGGATAACTGCAGTGCTTGAATTTGTGCGCTATTTTCTCCTTTTCCACGTCTCCCCGGACGATCACAGAGTGATTATTATTCTTAAGCCAAAACACACTTCAATTTGAAAACAGCACAGGAATTACTTCAGAGAAACCTGCCTAGAACAAGACTAGCAAGGTTCACGTCTCAGAAACACACCCATCTCCACCTTTTTGTTGAAGCCTCCCCCTGCTTCTTCAGCCTGACCCCAGCGGAAGGCTGCATTAGCCTGCATTAGAGCTGCAGCTGGCCTACAGCTGTTTGAATGCTCAGCAAAGTCACTTCTCAAACCTTCCTTCCCTCTGACTTCTCTGTTCTTACACAGGGCTCTCAGCTACTATTATCAAAGAACAAGAAGTTTACAGATCACACGACAAATTACTGGCTAGGACAACATACCAACATGGAAATCAAAACCAGTTTTACAAAAAGTAAGACTTCAAGTTAGTTAAGGAACTCCTCACTGCTGAAAGGAGGAGGAATGCAGGACAAGGATGGAGGCACAAGCCAGGGCAGCCACACCAGAACAAAGTTCTCATGTAAAACCTTTAAGCTGTTTGAATACACAGTACACAACTGATACAGACAGGACTATGTAAATCAAGCCACTTTTGCCTTATTCCAGTAATTCCCATGGTTTCTTTGGATTATCACCTAGTACAACATTGCATTTAAGAAGTCCCTGTACCACTGAGCACACAGGAGTCACAACAAGCAGCAGGAGAAAAGTTCACAATAGCTTCACGGGTTGCAAGAGTCTACTTTCATTTATATTTGTCTCTTTTTGTTTTTTAAAGAAAGACTAAGCAGGTACTTGGCAGAGTTACTCATTTTCAGTTACACTTGGGGCACTTCGTTTGTATTTGGTAGCTTCAGTCATGGCAAAGCCCCAGGAGCAGTGCCACAGTCTGAATTGGGAAGGGGTGATCACAGCAACCCCACCTTTGGTGAGCTGAGCACTCACAACCACAAGGACATTTCCACTAACACCATTACAGTTCACTCCTTTCCTTACTTTATTTTCCAAAGGCAGCACTGCAGTCTGCAAACACTTACCTTCAGGTAGTAGCTGAACAGCACCATTAAGGATTGATCTTCTTCATCTTCCTCTCTGACAAAGACTAGAAGGACCCTCCTTGTTTACTAAACTGTCCCTCGGTGGCCATACACAACTCCACTACGTTCTGGCAACAGGGACCTGCCCCACGTCTTGTAAGCTGCACCCACCCACAGGTGAGAAGGCAGAAGGAAAGTCAGATCACCTGCGGTAGATGCAGAGTAGGGGGCATTTCTCTAACTAGGGGCAGCTTTGTCCTGAGGAGAAGGTTGGTGAGCCACATGATGTCTTTAGGGAGGGTGAGAAAAGGGAGAGTGTCCTGCAGAGACATGCAGGCAAGGACCTGCAGGTAGATGGTTAGAGAGGAGCAAAGGTATGGAAAACACACACATTTTTGGTAAGACACTCATTTCCTTGCTAGGGAGAACCTTGGGGAGATTCCCCCTTTTCTGCTGTTGCAGGAGTATCAGCCCATCCCTATAGCCCAGCCCTGGGGACTGGGCTCTCTGTATGGGGAGCTGTGTCTACCCTCACAAGAAATGGGTGATTTGAGTCCTTTGTGCTCCGGGTCCTTCAGCAGCTCTGTGCCCAGCCAGGTCAGGCACACTCCAGGAGGCTCTTCCTGGCAGGATCAGCTCCTGCAATGTGGACACTGCTGGTCAGCAGCCTCCAGCTGTACTGTGTGACTGTGTCAGGTCTCAGCAGCTGGCTGGGCTTGTTTAGTGTGAAAGAGAGGGCAAGGCAAGGCATTGAACAGGACATGCAGAAAAGCTGGCGTTGATACATGGTCCACTCAATGCTTTTAATGGCAGTAGTGGTTTTCTTGCTTGACTCTGTAAGATGCTGGGGTTTTCTTTTTTAGGTTCTGTGGTTTGTTTTTTTTTATTTAATTCAGGAATTTTGACGGCATGACAACAGCCTATTGTGTTTGTTTCTGTGAAGCACCCAAGGGTAGTGGTGAGTCGCCTGTAACATGCAGCACCATTTGATGTGCTTTTGTGCATCAGTGCTCTGCTCCTGTGAGACTTCATTCTGCATGCTGCTTTTAGTTCAGAAGGAAACTCAGCTGCATACAAAACTGTCTGTACATGGTTAAGCCAGTAAGCCTGACCTGGCATTTCCCAGCACAAAATAAACCCATGGGATCAATGTCCAAGACCGAGGGCATCTTTCTATGACCAGGATAAAGGGCAGGGGGTAGTGGAAGAATACCTGTACCGCTGAGGAAGCAAAGACTTTTGATTTTGAAATAATAACTCTGAATAAAAGGTGGAAGGACAGCACAGCTGCCTGGCCTACAAACTACTACACTACGTCCCCCGATCTTTGGGACAGCTTCCTGATCCCTCCCGTCCCTGGATTTTGGCTGGAGTTCTGCAGGGGCTGAATGAAGTCAAACCCCAAGGGGCTGCATGGTGGGTGCTCAGGCACACAGGCCGAGGCAGATTGATACAAGCTGCACTTGAAAGGCTAAAATGGGATGTGCTCCAACTATGAAAAGATCCCAGGGACTGCTGCAGAGGGTTGCAGTAGATTATACCTTACTGACGTTGGAGGAGGCAGAAGAAAGTGCTGAGTGGCCCCTCTGCACCTTCCCAAGTGTTTGTCCTTTGGCATTATGGAAGTGACTTCTCCCTTCAGCAGTAAGTTGCAGGTGCTGTGTACTTTTGGCTTTGCACACAAGTAATTGTAGTACTAGGTCTTGATTGCATTTAGCAGACATTCTAGAAATAGAGAAGTGCTTTACTTAGCTCTCTTAAAAGAGGATGAGAGAAGCTGATGCTGTCAGCAGGTATCTGCAGCTGGCTCTGTTCTCTGGATGTCATTTTCTTACCTTGTTACAAATCAACAGGGATAAGGCACAACCTCCCTGCCAGGGCCGGTATTGCTGGGAGGAGAATCCTGTTCAATGCTCAGCTACACTATAGGTCGCTTCAGACTTCAGTTTTTCCTTCAGTAACCTGCCAGCTTTTGGAAAGCACTTCAAATGTGTAAAGGAAAATGTTGCACCAGAGTTGCGAGGGATTGTTTTGCCTGTTCTTCCCCCACCCATTGGCTTTGCTTGTATTGGCACTCAGGGAACTGGGAGGATGACTGCAAATTTCTGCACATGTACACAATGCCAGCCCCGAGCACAGCCTGATCTCTGCAGCTGGGGTTTCCACAGGACAGGTGTTCTGAGCAGGCAGGAGAGTCAAGAGCACCCAGCTTGTTCACAGGTGGGAGGCACAGCAGTAAAGCAGACCAAACTGGGCCCCAGAGATCAAGCAATTTTGTTCTGATGAGAAGAAACCTCATAAAGAGGTAGGGGGAAAGGTGTCTGATGTGCCATTGCTAATGATTTTTTGGAATAGTGGGGTGGAAGAAGCCCCAGCAAACTGAATTCCCACTTTCTTGCATGAGAACTCAACACGTGCCATTCACTGTGACCATGGAACAGACATCACCCCACCAGAAGAGACACTGCAGAACGAAGGGGAATGATGCTTTTCCCCATAGCTATGGATGCAGTCACAGAACATCTTATTTGGCTGTCTGTCCTATTCATTCGCCTTCAAGTAGTGCTTGTGCAGAGAAACAAGGTGACCTGTGGTGACTGCTTCACAATTAAAAGCATCTTATTTCAGCTGTACAGAAAACAAAGAAAATACCTATGCTTGTGTTCAGTAATGTATGGGATCAAAGCACACACCTGAGCCAGCAGGGTTAATAGTACTGCGTTATGAGGAGCTCCATCCTTGATCCAGCAAGATCTTTAAATGCATGCTTATCCTCAATAATAGCAGTAAAGCTTTTATAATCAAGGCTTACAGTTA